TTTCACGGTATTGGCCCATCATACATCAATGAACTGATCCAGTGCCATCAACCCTACCGTTCCCTACGTTCTAGTAGTGCCCAGTTACTAGTTGTGCCACGTACGAGGACAAAGACATTTGGAGACAGGTGTTTCTCAAAAGCAGGTCCTATGCTTTGGAACAATATCCCATTGGGCATTAAAAGTGCAGAGAAAATCTGTGCATTTAAGAGAATGTTGAAAACATTCTTTTTCAAATCATGTTACAGTTCCGAGTGACTCTTTCCTTGTCAGACTCATACGAAAGCGCCTTTGAGCAGAACTCATCTGGATATTGGCGCTATATAAATCTCTATATATTATTATTATTATTATGCTGTCGATCACTGGATTGTCTAGTCCAGACTCGATTATTTACAGACCGCCGCCATATAGCTTGAATATTACTGAGTGCGACGTAAAACTATACTCACTCACTCACTCACATTTCCTTTTTGAAATCTGAAACGTTGTATGTAAAATAAGTGATGTCACTTTGTGCCCATTATTTAGAAATATATAAACAAATACGATTTTTTCTTGGTTTGATAACTGTTGGTTTGCGTTGTGATGATGATGATTATTATTATTATTATTATGAATCCTGTCTTTATTGTGTGTTGTAACACATCATGTAAGCGTAACACGACACATTGCACTTAATTTCAAGGACGTATGTTTGACGTAGTAACAGGATACATTTCAACGGGACAGAATACCACAGGAAGCGAACTTTGACTGACGTCTGTGGATTTGTTGTTCTCCAGGAGACCAGTGAGTGAAGGTCTCAATGTGTAGGAATATGGTAGTTCTGGGCATGCAGTCTGCTTTGTCAAACCGACATATCTTTGTCTCCTAAAGTGTACCTAACTGATACGGGCTTCTATTCTGACAAAGTGACAGGATACATTTCAAATGGCCAAGAGTCACTTGTGATAAGAGGTTTAGCATGACGGCAGTGTCAATTATGTCTAAGCGTTTTGTTGGGAAGACGCAATTAGCACCATGGGGTGCTTATTTACATAATGCAGGAATCCTTTACGCAACAACAAAACAAGTCTTGTTCGTCGTTTTTATGTTTGGCATATTGTGATGTTGCAGACGTTATCTGAACATGGATAAATGCTTTTCTATGACTGTTTACAAATCTTGTTCGTCGTTTTTATGTTTGGCATATTGTGATGTTACAGGCGTTATCTGAACATTGATAAATGCTTATCTATGAATGTTTACAGTTGTTTCTATGAATGTTCGCAGCTGTTTGTGGTAAATATGCGCTCTCTTCCTGGTGTTTGTGTTAACGATGACTCCCCATTCCATGGCGACATGTGACCAATCCAGATCAGTCGTTAGCGGCAACTCGATTGTTGAGGGACCGCCGTCATATGGTGGAAACCTGCCCAGCTGGGCTTTAAGTAAACAACTGGATATGCCGGGTCCCAACCGAGGGTTTCAAGCTGTCAAAGCAGATAAGAACTATCAGTTGATATGAGCTTTAACCTCTCGCCCAGGCTGCCAGAGCAGTGGCTGATATTTGATCATGAAGCGTGCACTTCTGTGTGAGTCCAACGTGCGTGTATCTATACATTCATGTTTAATGTTTCTGCTTCTCACTCACAGGCGTCACTTAATTCCGTTTCTCAGCTTTTCTCGATAATGAGAAAGCTTTTGATCGCATCTGGCATAGCGGTCTATTCTTAAAACTCCACAATTTGGGTATAACGGGTAAAATGTGGAATCTGCTATATCACAGCTACACCTGCAGCTCTTCTTTTGAAATGTACAACGGAAATAGCTCAGACACATTTGAAGTAAAACAAGGTGTAGGGCAAGGTAGAGTCTTGTCTGCATGGTTCTTCCTTGTCTTCATAAACGATTTACTAACTGAATTAAGACTTAGTAACAATGGTATATGTGTATATGGTATTGATGTACCATCAGTCCTGTTAGCCGATGATACGACACTGTTAAGTACCACTCAGTCTGGGCTGCAGAATTCACTTCATATTGTTTCAGAATATGCTTCCAGATGGCGCCTTACATACAATGCATCGAAAAGCACTGTTGTAGTTTTTCGGAAAGAGAAACAATCTTGTCCTGAGCTCACATTCTCCTTTTGCGACACCTCTATTAATATAAGTCCATCAGTAAAACATGGTGGTATTCTACTCTCATCAGATCTGTCTTGTAAAGATAGAGTTTTCGCTAACTGTCAAAAGGCCATTTCGCTCATTGGGTCTTAACAGTGCTGATTTACATCCAGTTACATGTGTTAATATATGGAAACGTTTTACCTACAAGTTTCTATGCTTGGGAAACCATGCCTAGGCTATATGGCAAAAACATTGATCTGGTGGAAAATACCCAACGATATTTCGCTAAATGTATTCAAGGGTTCAACAGCCGTATGCCAACAGATTCTGTATGTGCCAACCTAGGTCTCTGGACAATGATTGGGTACATTGACAAGTGTAGATTATTATTCCTTGGAAGATTATGTAATAACGCTTGTAATTCATCAACAAAAACACTGTTCTGTGCATTTCTAGCACTCACTGTTCACTTAAATATTAGCTCACGCAGTTTTTGCAACACTTTGTTATGTACAGCACGGAAGTATAATCTACTGGGCTATGTATTAACTTACGTGCAAACTGGTATTTTTCCGGCAAAGACAGTTTGGCGCAGAAAAGTTATAAGTTGTATCTTCTCTTATGAAGAAGCTCAATGGAAATTGAGACTCTCCATTAGAGAGGATATGTCCAGATATGCTGTAATCCATCAAACACTGAGTCTACATACAGACTTTACACTCTAATGTATCTGTAAACAGAATATAAAGACCATATACAACTTGATGTACTAGTCGGTTCTAAAGCCAAATTCTCAAAAGAATGTATGCTTTGTAATAAGTGCTGCTATGACCACGATGTCCACATCATTTTGCATTGTGAATCTGTAATGAGCCAAAACAATAACTTTTATATGACCCTACTTGACCTACTGGACGAAGAATTATATGTATTAACTGAAATGCTTGATGATGAAGATGCCCTTGTACTGTTTTGTGGTGCAAAACATCACATCCCTGGACTTCATGAAACAGCATGGCAAACCACCATACTACATTTTTCGAAGTATATCTATTCTTTAAAAGATTCCTTGATGTATACTTTCTGAACTATCATTGTTGTAAATAACCGTGCTTTGTAGATATCATATGTAGATATATGTAACTGACAGATGTTTGTTTATGTAGTCTTCGAATATATTTTTGGAGGAAATAAAGACATTCATTCATTCATTCATTCATTCATTCATTCATTCATTCATTCATTCATTCATTCATTCTTTCCATTATTCATTCATTATGGAATCCTAGATGGGACACTGACCCGTTGTCGCGCATCTTACTCCGCGACATATTTTGACATTGGACATTGTCTCTTTGTTGCATTGTGGTCCTTTGATGAGTAAACAAATATTATTCAAAGCGCCATCATGCGACAAATGCCCAAAATGTCGAGTTGTCGCATTGTTGCACTTTGGTTAATTTTGACCCCTTTTGCTTGTTTTTGTGAGGGCGACAACGCGACAACGTCTGTTAGCAAGCGCTTTATAAAGGTATAGCGGTGGCCAGAAACTGTATTCAGTTCATTTAGTTAGCTATTGTCTGAAACGATGAGATTGAGATTCTTTCTTCTATGTCATCAATAGGTAACGTAAGATGATTTCATTGTGTACGTTTTCTAAAGCCGCTCGAAGAATGCATGACCTTGTAAAGTAGAAAAACCCAATTCAACCACTTGAATATAACGATAGCCATGTCTGTTTGTCGGACCGATTGATAATGATATATATATTCACCACAACGGTTGAAGAATATGGACTGACACGCGATTGCGAAACGGATCTCATGCATTTGATGTCAAGGCGGTTTGTCGGATATTGACTCTTGTGACTTGACTGCTGTAAATTATATTGATGGTATGAATAGTAATAAACATGCACGATGTGGTTTGAACATGCTTTATGTTACCTTTAAACGAATTACACCAGGCATATGAGGAACAGATAGCTGACGTGTTTAAACGATCGGAAAGAGGGTACAACGGACATGTCGTTCCTCAGTTAAATGTACGTTACCATTGTGAAAGGCGGTGTTGTCAATGTTAAACGGGAAATTATATTATGTCAAAGGTTGAAGTGGTACAGGTTGTAGTCAGAGTAAATATAACAACAGCATACATATTAAACTACATTATCCATGTGGGGGACTTATTGACAAGCATGCTGCAGTATACATTAACGGTAACAACGATTTATAGTTGTTGAAATGATATGCAAGTACACATGCTGTTACATCTCACAGCATACTGGACATTCCATATTACGTAGCACGGTGAAACTTAAATCGCCTATTTTGACGGTTGCAAACTTCTCATGAACATTATAGGCAATGAGTGAGTGAGTGAGTTTAGTTTTACGCCGCCTTTAGCAATATTCCAGCAATATCACGGCGGGGAACGCCAGAAATGGGCTTCACACATTGTACCCATGTGGGGAATCGAACCCGGGTCTTTGCGTGACGAGTGAACGCTTTAACCACTGGGCTACCCCACCAATGACGAAACGGCAGACTAAAACATAAGTGTGGGCCTTTGGAAAGAAGCAGCTGAATACAGGTTGGTATTCTTGCTCAAGTATATGCTAATATAGCATTTGTAATGCAGTCATAAATTATCATATCATAAAATGTGTGTGTATGTGTTTGCGGGCACGCGCGCTTGTGCGTGTGCGTGTGCGTGTGCGTGTGCGATAATATAGATTATCTGACGTAATATGGAAGAGGCAGTAAAACGGAAACGTTTGTATGCTGTAGGCATTAGAGAAGGGTGTTTATGTGCAGTCTTAGCATGTGGCCTAAACAGAATTAGTACCGGTGCAAGGTTCCCTCGCGTCATATCAGCCACGCACCTGACACTAGGAGTATTGACACATTCAGGAAGCAGCAGTACAGCACAATCTTCAAGTTGGGAGTCGACGTTGGTCGGAGCTGAGCAAGGTGTCAGGTATGTCTCCTTGAGCAGTGATATAACGCATGTTAACGTCACTTGAGATTAGTCGGGTTACAGATGACAACTTGACACCCTCCCTTTAAGAATTATCTCATATGACTAATGTAACAACTCTCAAAGCATAGACACACACTCATACACACAGACAAAGACACAAACACAGGCATTGAACTGAAATAAATCGCCGAATGTCATGGTTTAGATATTGGTCGAGCCGCTATCTGGGGTCACACAGCACGGACACGTTGCATCCTGGAGTCGAACCCGAGCCTTCAACGTGGCCACAAGTCCACAACACTAAGCTGTAGGACTACCTATATAGTGACGTTTCTGCCGCAGATTCACCAACGATATTACAAGGTAATTCAGTTTCCCTGAATTTTTTCTAAACAAATTCATCAGTCTCATGGTAAAATATTTTCTGATTCCTTGTTTGCAGAGAAAATTAACCGTTCAATGAGTCCCAAATGAACAAATGACTGACTACAGGGGCAACGTTTAATGAAGTTAAACATGATAGGTTAGTTTATAAAGTGTGGCCACCCAGTCCTCTTTACTCGGACCTGACTCTACACAGCAGTTGGTTCCGGTACACAGCGTGATAGGGTAAAGATATCACTGTCTCACTCTTGAGAATGTATAAACGTGAGTCATGTAAGCCCGTAGGTTGCAAAGCTATATGTTTAGATAGTATTGAGGGCTTGTCCATCCTTTTTAGCAACAATCTTGTGTAAGCCCGGGCTTTGTCTATAATGGTAGCTACGCCCCTGGATGCTCAGCAATCTAAGTCATAACGGTAGATAATCGAGTCTTCACCAAGTAACCAAGTGATGTACAGGACGTTCAATGCATCGGGGGTACGGTGATACACCAGTACTAGTCACTTGTACATGAACATCGGGGGTACGGTGATACACCAGTACTAGTCACTTGTACCTGAACATCGGGGGCACGGTAATACACCAGTACTAGTCACTTGTACCTGAACATCGGGGGTATGGTGATACACCAGTACTAGTCACTTGTACCTGAACATCGGGGGTACGGTGATACATCAGTATTAGCCACTTGTACCTGAACATCGGGGGTACGGTGATACACCAGTACTAGTCACTTGTACACTGTCGGGCGTACCTGAACATCGGGGGTACGGTGATACACCAGTACTAGTCACTTGTACCTGAACATCGGGGGTACGGTGATACACCAGTACTAGTCACTTGTACCTGAACATCGGGGGTACGGTGATACAGCAGTACTAGTCACTCGTATGTGAACATCGGGGGTACGGTGATACACAAGTACTAGTTACTCGTATCTGAACATCGGGGGTACGGTGATACACCAGTACTAGTCACTTGTACATGAACATCGGGGGTACGATGATACATCGGTACCAGTCACTTGTACCTGAACATCGGGGGTACGGTGATACACCAGTACTAGTCACTTGTACCTGATCATCTGGGGAACGGTGATACACCAGTACTAGTCACTTGTACCTGATCATCTGGGGTACGGTGATACACCAGTACTAGTCACTTGTACCTGAACATCGGGTGTACGGTGATACACAAGTACTAGTCACTTGTACATGAACATCGGGGGTACTGTGATACACCAGTACTAGTCATTTGTACCTGAACATCGGGGGTACTGTGATACACCAGTAATAGTCACATGTACCTGAACATCGGGGTACGGTGATACACCAGTACTAGTCACTTGTACCTGTACATCGGGGGTACGGTGATACATCAGTACTAGTCACTTGTACCTGAACATCGGGGGTACGGTGATACATCAGTATTAGTCACTTGTACCTGAACATCGGGGGTACGGTGATACACCAGTACTAGTCACTTGTACCTGAACATCGGGGGTACGGTGATACACAAGTACTAGTCACTTGTACCTGAACTTCGGGGGGAGGTGATACACCAGTACTAGTCACTTGTACCTGAACATTGTGGGTACGGTGATACACCAGTACTAGTCACTTGTACCTGAACATGGGGGGTACGGTGGTACACAAGTACTAGTCAATTGTACATGAACATCGGGGGTACGGTGATACACCAGTACTCTCACTTGTACGTGAACATCGGGGGTACGCTAATAGACCAGTACTAGTCACTTGTACCTTAACATCGGGGGTACGGTAATACACCAGTACTAGTCACTTGTACCTGAATATCGGGGGTACGGTAATAGATCAGTACTAGTCACTTGTAGATGAACATCGGGGGTACGGTGATACACCAGTACTAGTCACTTGTACCTGAACATCGGGGGTACGTTGGTACACCAGTACTAGTCACTTGTACCTGAACATTGGGGGTACGGTGATACACCAGTACTAGTCACTTGTACCTTAACATAGGTGGTACGGTAATACACCAATATTAGTCACTTGTACATGAACATCAAAATGCCTTACTGCAAAAATAGGTTGCTGGGGACCTGTTTCCGCCCGCAACTCCCATGAGGTGATTGTTTGTCCATACAAGAAAGAACTGTTTCAAAGTCAGTAAATGTGGAAGAATATCTTCTTGCCTTCTTGTCAAGGGATTGTGTAATGTATTGTTTGGAGTGGAACATAAACACCAGTGTCTTTGAGTAGTCACATGAGAAATGCTTTTGAAATGCCAAGACCATGTGTTAGAAGCAGTCACTACCGGGTTCGTGTACGACCTTAGAATTCCTGACTAAACGGTAGCGTATCGTAGCTATCATATTGTGTGGTTTGCTTAACGTGGCGCTAGATATCTTCAGTTACATACGCAGGACACTGGGAACGAAGCGTTAAAGGTAAAGGCTTTATCATAATTTGACATGCATGATATTCTTAATATGTATATTGGTTATGTTTTACCAAAGGCAATGTAAATAGGAAATGCATAATAAATGTCATTCTTGAAAAGCTTTACGTGTGAAAAACTTTTAGAGGGACCAACATAAAGTCAGGTCCTTTGGTGTAAAGTTGCAGAACGTGTTCATGCTGTTTTGCATTTTTGACATCGTGAGATTTGAAATATTATAAAGATATTGGTTAAGGATCTCAAGTACCCTAGAGGAAACAATATTGTATATTGTAACGTGTGGATTCCCAAGATGAAACAACCGGATATAGGTCCGTAGGAGAACTAGGTGTGAAACGAACAAACAACAACGTGATGATTGCCTAAAGGTTGCGGAGATGACGTGAGCTGATTTGTAAGTCATCTTGGTGTGATGTCACAGGCAGCGCGCCAGGCTATCTGATCTGTACCCGTCTAATGCACACACGTCTTCAGACTGTGTAGTTCTGATGACTGCAGCCCGGTGCTTGTGCAAATGTTGAAACTCATTATTCAGCATCATCCCTACCCCTGACACGCCCATGTGGGAGGCGCCACTTGGATATACCCGCTTTTAAAAAATTAAACTTGACATTTTGAGGCGTTTCCCTGTGTAGCAATATCTGTGTACTTGCATTTCAACGCACGTACGGATCGGGTGGTCAGGCTCGCTGACTTGGTTGACACACATGTCATCGTATACAAATTGCGTTGATCGATGCTCATGCTGTTGATCACTGGATTGTCTGGTCCAGACACGATTTACACACCGCCGCCATATAGCTGGAATATGTGTTGTGTGCGGCGTTAAACGACAACCAAACCAAAACCAAACATTGCAATCTACTGCATGATTCGTTCTGCTTCAGAACCAGAGGCCTTATTTTACAATGGCGAGAGCTGCCACTGAAAAGGGCAACATGGGAGAAGATGAAGAGACAATCATAAGATTAAATACACCTGCAATAGAGGGATGTTTAGAGGTTAAAGACATCAACAGCATTCTGCTCGCTAAAGGTATTCTGGACTTCACTGATCGACAGGAGATTGAATCATCATCAACACGGATCGAGAGAGCAAAACGGTTTATACACATTATCATAAACAGGGGTCCAAACGCATTTAAGGAATTCATATTTGCTCTAAGAGAAAAGGGTTATAAAGATTTAGCTGACAGACTGTCTCAGGAAGAAACTGCTCATGAACTGACCAGACAGATCAAGGATGGCCAAGGCGTGAAAAAACTTCACACTGAGTTGGAAGAGTTAAGAATACGGTTGGGGCATATGGAAGATAAGGCGGGTAAAACTAAACACGAAGTAGATTCAATGAGAGGTGGCATTCAGTATATTGCTACATCACTCGAAAAGATTGAGACGTTGTCAAAGGAAAGTGAAACCGCTTTTACAACTATACATTTGATGCAACAACAATTGCAAAAGAAGGATGATGAGCTTACTGCTGCAAGAGAAGAGATACAGAAATTGAAGGCCGATGTTCTGAAACTGGAACAGGACAACGCAGTTTTGAGAGTTGATTTACAGCATCAGTCAGATAATGTAAACAAACTCAAAGATCAGATGGCAACGGTGACCGACAAAAATGTATTTTTGGAGAAGGAAATTAACAATACCAAGAAACAACTAACAGTTGTCCACGACAACTTCACCGAGACTATGGAGAAACAGAAGAAAGAGATGGAAACTATGAAGAAGGCTGTGCAGGCAATGCAGGGTCCACTGACATCAAAGCGCGTAGCTGTGGCATCTAGACCCATTGTTCCCAGAAACAGGTTCCAGAGAAAATGATGCTACCCTACGTGTCCATGTGTTATCAATGATGCGATTACTGTGGTTGATGATCAAAACATGCAGCATAATTGTTCATTCCGAAAGTATTATTTGAAGGATGAACTGCCAGTTTGTGAATCAATCAGCTCTGTGTGATGAGGGCTCGCTTTGAAACTGAAACGGACAATTTAATGAAGTGAAAGAAGGTCTCCTCTTGTGAAAGACAGTAGTTTGTAAAGTTTTGTACTGTCGGTTATCCAACGTATTTATATTCAAGAATATATATTTTATATTTGTATATTTATTCACTGGAAATGTCAAGTTTCTTGTAATGATATCAGAAAATATTACGCCAATCATCTTCCATCGTTTATATCCGGTGATGTTGACATAGTATTTATTCATGTCACAGACAACTAAATAACAAATATTTGTAAGGTGTCTACTTACTTTTTTCACTCCACATGACCGTAATGAAGCCAATACAACGACTCATTGATCACCCAATCAGTCACTTTTAAGCTTGTTGGAGAATAATTTTGTTTACTTGCTTCAAACATGAGAATGGGGTGGTGGGGTAGCCTAGCGGTTAAAGCGTTCGCTCGCCTCACCGAAGACCCGGGTTCGATTCCCAAAATGGGCACAATGTGTGAAGCCCATTTGTGGTGTCCCCCACCGTGATATTGCTGGAATATTGCAAAATGCGGCGTAAAACCAAACTCACTCACCCACTCACTCAAACATGGGAACGTTGCAGAAAAATATATTGGATTTACTACGGTGTGTTTGTTATCGAGACAGGGGACTTATGTTGTTCTTATTCGCACATGAAATTCTTATGCTTTCATACTGGTGAATAAATGCTGTTTGTAAAGCACTGAATACGGCGCCATTATCTTAGACATGGTTAGGCTTGGGTGGAATAACCTGAATTCATTCACAAGAATTAAACTGCATGCGTAAAGGATACAATTTAAAGGCTGTATATTCAATGCTGTCATCAAAGAATAGGAACTCTGCTAGTCCAAGCAATACCTCACAGAAAAGTATGATACGTTATATATTTGCTTATCAGAAACCACACTGGTCTGTTGACACACCAGATGATAAGCACACACGTCACCAAGCCAATAGACACAGGTAAACGTAGAGGTAAAGCTATATAAAAAGAGCGGGGGTTAATTCAGATAGTGTAAGTCATAAAGATAATCACGTGACAAGCGCCCCGCATGCTGAGATACTCCTAATCTCGTAAAACACTAAACAAATAGCCAAGACCGGAAGCCCGACTCTTGTGTTGCAGGTGCGCTACAATGTTTTTTGAATGCACATACAGTACACTACATGTGGAAGGAACTTCCTGGTTAGGAACTGACTGGTATAACGAACTGCTTTTGGGGAGCCATGCTCTAAGTTATAGTCGTAATTATAGTTAAGTCGAATAGCGCACAGTGAACAACGGTTATGGCGAACAAAGTTAGTGGTCAAGATTTGACCATTTAAAGTCTTTGCAGATGCATTCTGTCATCAAATTCCTTCCATGAGATTTTCATAGATTTGGCAAAATTGGTGTATAAAGCTGTAAAAGTTAATAACGATACCGTTTGTGCACTACACCAGTAAATGAACATGTGTTAAGATGATTCAATGAAAACATATTTCATTTGTGGTGAATGCTTCATGAATAAAATAGTTTCATGATCTCCTATTAGTTTCTGTTTTTTAAAAAGTATATTTCAGTATCAGTACTTTCAGTTTTTTATGACTATTAACACGGAAAAACTGGACAAAGTTTTACCAATATTTTATAACGATATGTGTTATTGAAAACTGGGAATATTACAGACTAACTGACCACGTTCCTCAATCTTAAACCTGTCAAAGGTCACACTGATAACGAGCATCGGACATGATCCGGGACCAGTATCTCTAAAGTTATAGAACTAAGGTGTATTACGTTTATCTGTCTTTGCGGCTGTTTGTATTTCACGCTGGTCAAATCACGTGCGTGCCACATATACCTTCGTTGCATACTCGCGACTGGCCATCGATGCTTCGGTCCAACCAAATGACATAATCTCACGTTCACAATCACAACGTTAACGTAAGTTTTATCTGTAAACGCGATTATCTGCGATAGCTAGAATATGTATATAATACGGATGACAGTCTCAAATCAGGGGGTGGCTGTCTAGTAAATTCACTCAGGTCTCGGGTGTGATGTGGGTTGGTTGTGCCACTGGTACCTCTGCTGAGCGAGTTGAAACTTCAGCTCGTTCTTAATAGGTGGCAGAGGACCAAAGGTGGCCATGGCGACACACCAACCTACACACATGGCAACACCGGACGCAGGACCCAGACGACCTATCCACAGAACCGGGTGGAACAGACGAGCAACTGGTGGATCCCACAAACCAGGTCCGGGTCTGCAGATGGTTTATCCTCACTGTGCAGGCAGCCTGTAGAGGATTAGGATTAGTGATATTGTTAAAAGGAAAGGGATCGTCCCCTGATCTAAACTCATGTCCTTAGAGAGTTTCCAAACTGTTAGATTGTCAGACTGGTATCAACTCACCAATTATCCATGTTCAATTAATGTCACTGAATGAACACAGGCTGTCTTGCAAACATCAACCGGGTGCCAGGACCACAAATCATGTCGAAGGCTGGCATGCAAGACTTAGCAAAATTGACCAGAACCATCCCAATATGTATAGATTCATTGATCTTATCCGAAAGAGCAGAGCCACACTGAGACGACAATAGTTCAGATTCTACACAAAAAAAGAAGTATCGACACATCGATGATGAAATCCTGTGTCAGAACACTCTACATGCCAACGGTGTTAAAACTTCGATGGAATTTGCTGATTCTATGTCACATATAGTTGGACTTTAATTGTGTTTTTCAGTGCTAACATAAAATGTAGTTCATGCAGTGTTATGAAGTCCCATGCTTATTTCTTCTTGTAAAGTTTTGATATTTTGTATGAGGGTGTGTGTATATATAGTTAATATAAATTCATATATTTTATAAAATATGTACTATTGAGTATGTTATTGTATTGAAAAAAGTTTTATACTGATACGGTCCCCCAGTCATCCCTTTGTTTAGTTGCTTAATACGCCTGATTGCTTAAGTAATTATGAATAAAAGGTGCATGCACTATGAGGAGACCCCTGCAGATAGCAATAAGCTAATCTAATTCACTGTGAACTTCACCCATCAACACCGATGTCTTCAATACGTTTATCAAAATTATCATAAAATCCCGTCAAGATAGAGTAGCTTAAGTGCGCAGTTGGCACCGTATCGTCAGTCGAGTTAGGATTTGGATATAGCAACTGAAGTTCACAACAACAACTTTATCGTTAGTTTTATCAGTAAATGGGATTATCTATGATAACGGGAATAGGTATAAAACAGGGACGACACACAGTCACAAATCGTTCAGTGACTGCTGTGTAATAAACTCCTTGTTATTTACTCAGGTAAGAAACTTTACTTTCTTCTACTTTGACATACCATTGCTATTCTATGTTAACTTTAATCTATTGTAAATAGAAGATTAACTATAAGTTACCACCCTTGGCAGTACCTTCAGGTTTATGTGGAACGAGGCAACCCTTGGTATGTGTCTCATATCTTCGGTATTATGGTTTAGGATTGTTTATTTAATACTGATTGACACTACACTGTTCTGTGACTATTATAGAATGTATAGAGTGTGTCGGATATTTTAACTATTGCATAACGTTGTGAATACTATGCTGTTTGGGACCGTTACAGAATGTAGATTGTATGAACCCCCACTGGGGTGATGTGTAGTGTACTGAACTATTGTTGTGTACATTGGAATATGTATAGCGTTTAATGTAGTATGTGTCGTGTGTAACGAATCCACATAATATGTTTATGTACTTTGATATCTGATCGCATTGTGAACATGTTCTAATAATTAATTCAATTTGTAAACTATTCTATTATTGACTGATTATGTACGATCGTTCAGTGACTGCTGTGTAATAAACTCCTTGTTTATTTAGTCAGGTGTTGTGTTGTGTGTGGGTTGGTATGGGCAGACCTCTTGCCAAGCGAGCTGATTCCCCAAAACTCGCATTTTTATATGACTAAATGAAGCCATTATAAATACTTAGAAAAAATGTCTAATGTAATTGCTTTCTTCGACTCCTACCGTTTAAGGTGAACAATTGACTTGCCTTGGCAAGTGTTTGTGAATGTTACCAATGGGAGAAGGATACGCTTTCCTCTATGCGAATACCTAGTACCATTACTTGTAGACTAGATGTAATCTCTGAAATGAACATATTTTACAGAAAAATCAGTTCCTTAATTAATTATAATAGCTCTAAATTTGATTGATTAAATAAAAAATAGAGCTGTTATAATTTCGTTATATACCTCTGATTTTCCAACACAGTATGTTTATCTCCATTCTACCATAACCGCGTTATTGAGATTTTAAAAAAAAGATACATACTGTGTTGGAAAATCAGAGGTATATAACGTGATTATATACCTCTGAATGACTTTAATTGACCAATCACAATCCAGTATTTACTGAAGTCATGGTAGAATCTGGTTTTAATACAGATACCTTTACGTATATATTTTATATCCATGTATGTATGTATGTATGTATGTATGTATGTATGTATGTATGTATGTATGTATGTATGTATGTATGTATGTATGTATGTATGTATGTATGTATGTATGTATCTGCCTGTCTGTCTATCTAATGAACCCAATTACAGATGAACATCAACTACACAATTTCGATTCATATAATTGTATAGAAGATGTTCATGATGTCAGTCACTGGATTATCTCGACCACGTATTTACACATGCCCATCATATACATGGACATTTGCTGAGTGCGGCTATAAAACACAGCTTTGTAGCTTTAGGTATTCATCTTGATTAATATAATTGTATATACATCTATATCAATTTTGTAACTTTGCCTGTTTGTTGTATCTACATGTATATAATATGTTTGATCTACGGATGATCGTCTGGAGGAAATAAAGACTCTCTCTCTCTCTCTCTCTCTCTCTCTCTCTCTCTCTCTCTCTCTCTCTCTCTCTCTCTCTCTCTCTCTCTCTCTCTCTCTCTCTCTCTCTCTCTCACGGAACATTGTGGGGCGGTGGGGTAGCCTAGTGGTTAAAGCGTTCGATCGTCATTCCGAAGACCCGGGTTCGATTCCCCACGTGGGCACAATGTGTGAAGCCCATTTCCGGTGTCCTCCGCCGTGATATTGCTATGGTATTGTTAAAAGCGGCGTAAAACTAAACTCACTCACTCACTCGGAACATTGTACATTGTGTCGCCATATGTTCTTGTGACGTGGGTCAACTTCTAGATTAACCACGTCGTTGGTGCTTGAATTGTGGTAAACGTCTAAGCCGGTGTAAGATTGTAAACATACCCGCGTTGAAAAGGTACCCGGCGGGTACTTTTTCAACATTGAATTATTACCCGGACTCACTTTTCAACGCCCGGGGTCTTTTTTCAACATTGAATATTTACCCGGCTGCTATTGAAAATAAACCCGGTTCACGTATTGAAAAGATACCCTCGTTGAATAATGACCCTCGCTGTTTCTACACTGTCAAGTAAGATACATATGTTAAGATATATACGCGTATGCAACGTACCGGACATCTGTGGTTTGATGCAATGTGCGAAATAGCCACTGGTCCGCTAGTCCGTGGCTAGTAAAATTCCAGTCGGGCCAGTAAATCTCCACAGTCACTGGGCCGACTGGCAAGTGAACATTCATGGGGTGATTTTGAAAACATATAATTCTCTCCGACATGTTAACTTATAATATACTTTTAAATCATGCAAGATTATGGCCTGATAAAAATGTTCATCATATTGGCAGCTTAATGATGAAACCCGTGTCAAATTTCGGGCTAGTGATATATTTTGTGGGCTAGAAACTTTCAGGCATAGTTTGCCCGACTGGTAAGTACAATTTGGAAACTATTTCGCACACTGGTTGGATGGTGAACATAGACACATTTTAGCTCACCTGGACAAACTTCAGATGAGCTTATGTCGTTGGCTGTATGCCCGTCGTCGTGCGACATCTGTAAACATCATTTCCAAAACTACTTAGCCAATGAGGCTGAAATTTGACATACATGTTCCAAACCAAGAGGACACCAAAGGTTGTAAGAGGCATTCCGATCCAATTTCAGATATGGCGACTACAGCCGCCATATACTGAAAATGCCATTTTCGCTCTTTAGT